GTTGTTTTTGTCACCCACTTGGCACGACTGTGTCAGCACTGCGGGGCCACGACGGTCACGAGGTAGACAAAGAGGTGACCCACACAGTTAGTAGTAGTAGTAGTAGTAGTAGTAGTAGTAGCAGCAGCAGCAGCAGTATTAGTAACAATCATCATAATAAGAATACTAGCGATACCCCCACAATCGGGCCTCATCGAGGTCAGCGACGTGTGCCTTCAGCCTTGGCGCTTAAACTGTCGAAGCTCCGAAGCAGCAGGAAGCAGGTCTCTAATGGGTTTCAAGGCGGCTGCAGGACAGTTCCTGAGGTTTAGGGCTTATTGGGTTTAGGGTTTAGGGTTTAGGGCTTATAGGGTTTAGGGCTTGTAGGGTTTCGGGGTTTAGGGATCTGGTCGTCCTGATCCGAAGGGAAGGATGTCCGAGCCTTTCTTGCAAAAGAATCGTTTGACACCTCCAGGCTCTTAAACCCCATGTCAGGGTTTAGGGTTTAGGATTTAGGGTTTAGGGTTTAGAGTTTAGGGTTACTGCCATGTGCTAAGGTTTTAAAGTGTAACAAAACCTCAAAGCGCGTGACAGCAACAGAGCATCTGCTTCCTCGTGCGACTCAGTGGCTCAGAGCCTTGGAAGAACACCAAACGGCGCTTTGTGTCCTCGTCACTCAGGTGACACATTGGGCTGAGTGGATTGATGTTTAAGGGCTTGCAGGAGGACTTACAGTTCAACGGAGACGGCTGAAAGGGGAATGGATTTTAGCCAGGAGGTAGGGTTCGCCGCTCTCAATGTATCCTCGCGATGGACCAGCACCAGGCCCGTGCGCCTCAGCCAACCGCTTTTGATAGTGCATTGTTCTTGAGGGTAGGAAACTCATCCAAGGCTCACAAACTTTTTTGAGCGGACTTGCTAGAGGCATGAGCAACTGTACGTGAGTCGGAGACCCTTAATTAATCTTTTTGGTGGCTTTGTATGGCTCCAGCGTGGCGCGTGATCAACAGCGAGCCGGGGAATTTCTCCTGCCAAGGAGCTTCCAGCCCTCTCCTGACAACAGGCTGAGGCAGTAAAGGTCCGAAACGAGCGAAGACAGACAAGAACGGAAGAACGTCCTCTCTGTCGGCTCCTATGGGTCCTATAGATTTCATCAGGCCTTCCTCATCGACACGCCGATTTCTGAATACTCTACGCACTTCTCAGAAGTTCTGACCCCTTTCTGGCTGATGCGCGGTCCTAAGTGCACGCCAATGACCACATCCTTGCAGGGATTGCCCTTGTCACAAGGAGAGATCCTGAGCTGGGCACGTGGAAGCTACGATGTAAACTCCCGGCTCCATCATGAAGTCCACTTAGGCACCGCAACTAACAAGTCGCTTGCAGAAGCGAGTGCTGACCGGTACTAACCCTAAACCCTAAACCCTAAGCCCTAAACCCTGAGCCCTAAGCCCTAAACCCCAAAACCCCCAAACCCTTTTCCTCTTGACAAGCCATGCCCCGACCGGGGGGGGGGGGACCATGTCCTCCAAGGCACGTGCCGTCGTCGTTCATGCAGAACCGGCAGGCCCACTCTCTGTGGGGCTCATGCAACCCTACGCACCTGCCAAGGTGAATCCATGCGAACCCGCAAAGTGCCAACTCTGCATCTCTGCTTGGAGGTTCATGGTTAGATATAAGTAGGGTTAGAAGTAGGGTAACTATAGTTATAGCTTCTATTGGGGGACATATAACTCCACTTAGAACTACCCATGAACCTCCAAGTGACACTGGCCAAGGTTTCCATGGACAATGCAGTACAGCATAACATTAGCAGAGCCCAGCGGCACCAAAAGGTAACGTCACTGTTGGGGATCATCTTTCGATGTGCCACCTGCAGGTCCAGAGTCCAGAGAGCAAAGGCCACAGAACCCAATACCCCTTAGTTAACGAATATAACTTAAACCATAATATTAAGGCCCCTATGACTTAAGGTATTTCCTTATCCCTTAATTCAGGGGTATTGGGTTCTCTGGGTAGTTGCAGGATGCGGCTCCACCGAGTCTGGTTTGGGGTTGAGTCTTGGGTGTACTCGAGGCTCGCAAGTTGAACGCTGAAGGCGTGGAAGATTTTCTGGTTCTTAGTAGGAAATGGGGGAATGGATCCCTATGATAGTCCCTTAAGGTCCCCCATAGTAGTCCCAATAACCCATTCCCCCCTAAACCCTACTAAGAACCAGTCAGAAGACGGCACCTCCATGGCAAGGTCTTCGTCGCCATGCTTGCGGATGGCCATATTGTCCTGCTAGGAACTGGATTTCGGAGAGGAGATGAAGCCAGCCCTTCGGTTCTCCAAAGGAGATGCTGTGCAGCAGATAAGGGCAGACTCTTGACCTTGTATGCCTTGTGATAGGAATTATACAAGGAATGAGTACTCATGTGGACTGAAATCTTTCCTGTTCGGATTTCAAGCAACGGTTCTTTGTGACTGTGACAGGGCTTCTGGGAGAACAGCGGGAAGTGGACTTATAGTAAATGAAACTAGCAAACACACCGTTTTTTGCTTTATGAACTAGTTAAAGATACATTAAAGATACATTATTTGTATGTATATTTTACTTCTTCTGTTTAAACGACAAACCTAGGAGCCCTTATGACTCCCTGTGACCCTGCGGCTTGCGCAGTTTTGGGCAGTCGATGTAGCCAGCCTAACCTGGACAACAAATACTTCACATGTTTTTCGATGTTCCAGGCGCCGGGTCATCGCAATATGCCTGAAAACGCTAAACACCGAAGGGTGGGCAAGTTTAAGCAATTGTCGTGCTTCCTCGCCTCACCAAAGTTACCAAAGCTGCCGAATCGTCAACCACAGTAAACTGGAAGGCCGTGCAACCACACGAGTCAGTCTATACAACTAATCAACTCTTTTTGACAGTATCATCTCTGGTGTAGGAAATGGCATCGCCTGCCTGTCCATGTCTTGACATGTCTTGGCATCATTTGGAACAAGACGCCAGTCTTCAGGTAGCGTTGTTAGCAACTGGCCACCTAGCATGCCAAGGCAGCTCGTGTGGTGGTTCTTCATCACCGGACTGCAGGTGCAAAGTTGTTGTTCGGTGTACGCCGAGTCTGCGCTGCGAGAAGCTCTGACCTGCGAACAGACTCCCGGGGCAGCTTCATGGCATTCTTACGAGTCGCCTCATCGTATGGACTAGCTGATTTTTATGTACACGGTGCATAACACCAGCGACATGCACACATCAGACATTCGCTAGCCACCGCAAACCCCCACACCCACACAGCTGAATCTACGTCCCTTTAGTCCTTTGGGCCATCCATGCGGAACTTTGCTGCAGTGGTGGCCGCATGCAAGTGGATCCCCTCGAGAGGAGGACGACGTGGGTCGAGGCTTCGCAGTTTAGGGACTTCAGGGATTGGAGTACTGCTTTCGGGATCGAACCCTAATTAAGCGGCTACAGGCTCTCCCTGTTAGGGTTTAGGGATAACTTCACTGTTCAGCAGCGTTTGCAGCTTCGCATTGACAATTTTCCATGCAGGGATCAGAGGAGAGGCAAAGCCGCAGTGTGCCGGCGTCCAAGAGCCCAGTAGCCAGGTGGATCGGGGCTCACTGAAATGAACTAAACGCTAAATCCGAAATGCTTTGCAATTGCTGAGGGAAGGGTCACTGACGAGGCTGGGAAGCTCCGGATGTCCCCGATGCTGAGGGGGTATCCTGGTGGTGTTGTGTTGTAACAGTGGCACATATCCACATGTGGGATTCTTGCATGTCTGTTGCTGGAAAGCAGAAGGTTGGGCGGCTAAGGACCTACACCTCAAACCAGTGAGTATACACGCTTGGGCTCTGTCAGCTGTCATTAGAGGGGCCTGACTGGTTGGACTATGCTACTCGGGGTACTGTATCTTAAACTGACCAGTCAACCAATATCAGCCGCTCCCAATGGTACCCAAGCTAAAACCTTCCGCCCTAAACTCCCAAATCCGAAAAACAACACTAAAATCCCAAATCCGAAAATAACCCTAAAACCCTAAGAATCCTAAAGCCCTAAACCCAAACCTTCATACTTAAAGCCCATCTTCAACCATCCTCGTACACCGGAGAGCCCAACACCCCTTAATTAAGGAATATACCTTACATCATAATAACTAAGGCCCCTATAAACTTAAGGTATTTTCCTTATTTCCCTTATTAGAGCCCTTATAGATCCCCTTAAGGAACCCTATAAATTTAAGGTATATTCCTCATTTAAGGGGTATTGGGCTCTCTGGGTAGCAGATGCTACATGGGCAGTTCTATAAATTAGGGTCCCTTTTACGGGTCCCTAAAGGGATCTATAAGGGTTTCCAAAAGGGTACTATAAGGGAATTAAAGAATATACATCAAATTAAAAAAGGGCCTCAGCTATTCTGATTTAAGGTACTATAAGGGCAGTTCTCTGAATTAGGGTCCCTTTTTAGCCCTTTCCTTTCGGGGGCCTGGCCGCGGCCACCAAGCGGGCCCGCCTCGCCCTTCTCCCGTCGGTGCTCCTGGGAGGGAAGCTGACCGGCTTTTAGGAGTTAGGGGTGTAGGGGTTTAGGGGTTTATGGGCTTGGGGGGTTTAGGTTTTTGGGGCTCTTTTTTTGGGGGGAGTTGAGACTGGGGTTTAGGGGTGTTTAGGGTTTAGGGCTTATAGGGTTTATAGGGTCCAGACTGGGAGTCTAGGATTTTTCGGGTTTAGGGTTATTAGGGGTGCTTAGGCTTTATAGGGTTTATAGGGTTTAAGGTTTAGAAGGACCCCAAACTGCAATTTTCGAAGGGAGGGCGGGTCCTCGCCCCGAAAACTGATGGCCCATCCTGCGAAGTCTGTCGGCAGTTTCCTCAGAGACAGCGGGGAGGACAGCGTGCTCCCAAGTTGTGGCCTAATTAAGGATCCCCACTCTCTCCCTAGTTGCTAGTTGCTGGCGGAGGCCGGTGACGCAGTCGTTCTAAGCTTCCAAACCCAATCCCGCAGCACGGTAAACCCCAAAGCCTAATCACAGCATTCAGTGGAAGATGCTGAGGGCTGGAGTTGGGACCAGGTTTCAGGATCATGGCCGCCATTGTGCATACTGCTTGCTTGACTTCCTATGTGTCTTACCAATGCTGTATCCGAACTGCTAGCTCGTTTGCGCTCACGCGCCCAATCCCAGCATGAACCACATAGCTGCCAAGTCTCACAATCAAAGCTTCAGCCTCCATTCTACATGTCCACAGGCAGAGACGGGCTTCAAGGCATTCGGTACGAAGGCACTGACTGCTTGAGCCAGGTGGCGGCGGTCCCAACCTCCGACGACCACGACGAAGAAGCAACCCTCCGGAAGCAACCGTGCCCATCGGACGTCACAGACGCGTGGGGCTGAGCCACTGGGCGTCGTACACAAGCAGTGCAAGACACAGAACTGTCCGCACGAGTTTGCAAGCATGAGCGGCACCGCGAGAAATCATGTTCACAAGCAGTCTGCGCTCAGTTCCTTCCGGCCATATGTGACGCCACCCATCACCTTCCACCCTTCGCCCTTTCATTGTCATGGAAGTCACAGTTGCTGGTCGCGGCATTAAGATAAATTAAGGGTTTAGGATGGCAAAGGGCTTGAAGACGCTTTAATTCTAATTACGTGAAGACATGTGTAGGTCCTTTTAAAGGGAAGCTGTTTAGGGTTTCCACCCACTCCGAAAAGCACCTCTGGACTTGTGAGCATATCGGCAATGCCGATTCGCTCCCGCCTGCTCGGGCTTTTGGGAGGTTAGAAAGAGTGTAGAGGTCTTGAAATTGTAGCAGCACTTAAACAATTTTGAAGGTTTCAGCATTTCCTTATGCTGTATACTGGATGGTCAGCTTTTTTGGTGTACCTTGCGTTCAAGCTTTCATAGCAAACTAAGCTCTCCCTTGCAGCCACAGCTTGCTCCGGCATGATCGCGCAGAGAAGCACTGCTAACTTTGCAGGAACCTGAGTAGAGAACTGGTCAGTTGACGACCAGTACAAGTTAAAAAAGGCCAGCCCGAATCACAAGCATCCCTGCGAACTTTTGCTGGTAGTTATCGGGCTGGTTCGCAACAACTCTTCAATCCCGTGTTCAGGATTCTTTCAATACCAAATGCGAGGGTCGTATTCAGTGCCGGTGGCCAGGCTTTCCTTGCATTGGAAGAAAGCTTTCAGCCACTCCGTGCCGACACTAGTGGTGCCCCCCAGGTGAAGCTTCCTGGACCGGTGGTCATCCGACCCTCCACTCCATGGAAGATGCCCCGAAGGTCCGGATTCGTCCCCACATAATAGGTCTTCACTGGGTTTCCGATGAACACGGGTGCCATTTTCAAGCTGCTGTTCCTGAGCCTGGGGGCAAGGGCGGAGGCTGCTTCACACATCCCACTGGCCGCCAGGGTTGACCTCCTTCGGCCCACCAAACCCCGGGTAGTAAGGCAGTGTGACGGCCGGGCACTCATGGCGCCCTTCGCATGGAAGGCCACAGTCCTCTACGTTGTTCCCCACATGGAAGCTGTCATCTCCACCAACTGCAATAGCGTAGATGCAAAGCCTCCGTTGTTCGGGGTCTCCTAGCTATCAGGCGCGGCTGGCCACGCGAACCCGTCAGGAGTAGCTGACAATCACAAACATGCACAGTTAAAGCGATAAGAGTAGTCTAAGCCTCATGCAACAGCAACCGTCCAACACAGCGAGCATTTGAAGCTAGCGGCGTGGAGGCTGCATCCAGATCCGGAGCCACAATAATCCTTTCGCTGCCGTAGCTGAGCCCTTGTGCTTCCTCGTAATCAGACGCCGCCGGGACGAACACCAGACCTCACGAGGTGGAGGGGTCGGTAACCCGAATACCATTTCAAGTTAAAGAAGAGAAAGAAGCAGTCCTAGGTTGTCTACAATCTACAAATGTGGCGAGCAATCCCCTTAACAAGTTCTCACTTGGCTCCCTTCAGGACTACACTGAGTAGACCCCGAACTCCAGGTTTTGTCTGCTCTGCTGATGCGGCACGGACAACGGGCAAGCACAGCTTGGTTGACAGCTACAACGGGTGGCGTTGCATGTCACCGCCGGCTCGCCGTAGTGCCCCTTTTCCTCGATTCACGAAGCTGGGGCGGGGAAGATGGGTCTTTCTTCTGTGGAAAAGCATAGTGTCTTGGGCAATTGGATCTGTAAAGGACAAAAAAACAAAGAACCTTTGAAAGAAACACGAGGGATGGCTTCACAAACCAAACTTCCCCAAACCCTAAACTCCGAAACCCCTAGAAGCCCCAAAGCCCTCAAAACGTAAACCCTAAACTCCTAAACCACTATAAGCCCCAAGCCCTCAAAACGTAAACCCTAAGTTCTGGCCAGGCACCGGCATGAGGCCGAAGTAGCCCAAGCCCAAAGCAGAGAATGGGTTCGAGGTTTCCTCGCATTTGCCTGAGCAGTCTCTCCACCCTTCGTATTTAGGACCCAGGAGAAATATCTGTTAGGAGAAAAAGAGGCTAGGTTCATCTGTGGCTTCGGCTTCCTGCCCTAAGCCCTACAGTAGGCAGCGAGCCCTCTTGAACCCGGCATGCCGAATTCACGGCCGTGGTGCGCCAGGGCAACAGAAACTGAAGTTCTCACCCGAAGGAACCGTCGTCCCAACGAGCTGCTCATTTGCACAGGCCGCGTTGACCTCACACTGCAACAGGGGCTGTGAACGAAAGAAAACCCAACGACCATTGCGTATTCCTTCGTCTCCCATTTTGTGCACAGACGTTTTACATAAAACGCCGTCCACCTCACATCAGATGCAAATCAGTTGAACAACAATCGCAAGCAACACCACAGCCTATGGATGTCAGATTTGCTTTGCAGGAAAGCACGGGCTGCTTTGCTTGGAGGGTTTCCGACAAAGTATAGAAAACAATATTTCAAGGATGTTTGTGTCATCTTGAGATTGAACGGCAACCACTTTCGAGCTGGGCAGCGGCCACAATCCCAGGACGCTGAAGCAAGGCTTTGACAAGACGCAAGAACTTTCCCTCAACCCTAAGGCCCTAAAGCCTAAGCCCCGAACTCTAGACCCTAAACCGGGTTGTTAACAATGTACAGTACGTATAGCAAGGACTACTTCATGTTGTTACTTATTCAGGCTCCTGCAGTACCTGAGACCATGGCCCGCCCTTCTTCCCTTCAGGCCTTATAGGATTGCAAACCCAGCAGCTCCAACCGAGGAAGCTTCAAATTCCAAATATGGGAGCAAGTACCCTTTTCTTATTGACTGTAGCATCCGCCTACAAAAGACGGGCCTCGACACTTCAATGAGCGTCGCCAGGACAATCGTGTTGAGCCCGGTCCTCGCGGATTCCACATGACAGGCAGACACGTAAAGCAGCACGTGCACAGGATGAAAGTGATGGCAGGTAGACATTGCTGATGGCCAAGCTGTTGTCCTCACCATGTTCACCATAGAACCTCTCCGTTCGCCTTCATGTTCATCGCGACGGTCCTGGCAGCACTAGATTGCACGAGTAGATTCATTCAGTCTCTGACCAGACGCATTAGGGATCTGGCAGCCCATTTTGATCGGTATCTGGCGGTGGAATGATAAAACAGAGGGGAGACGGCCTGAGGACTCCGTAAAACAACGATTTTTCTCAGTGCCAGCCGTCATTAGATTGCCGAAAACTGCGATTCACTCGAGTGGGAAGCTTCTGAAACAGAACTGGACACCAGCCTAAACCCACACCTTCAGCCTTGGACCAACAACCATACGCGCCCAGAACCACCGCATCTTGAAACCTCGAGCCTTTGCCATCAGAGCTCTTCGCGAGAGCTCCACCCTCCGGAAACGTCCGAGGCTCCAAACTTCTCTGAGGTATGCCTGCGGGGCGCGCAGAAGCACAACATCGGCAGGAGCTGTCAGGCCGTGCATTCAGGCTGCAAGCACACACAGCTAGCGCAAGTAGGTTTGTTTGCAATACAGGAGTGCTTGTGCTTGCGGTTGTTCCGCGAACCTGCAAGGAACTCCTAAGTCAGCGTGAGAAAATCTCGAATGAAGAAACTGTACAAGGTGGTCAGCAGAAACCCGCATGTGCAAAGACACGGGGATATGCCCATATTCATATTAAGCAAGGACTCCAAGTCACCACCTTTACACACCGAGTTCGTGCAAACTATCTGCGAGTTCCTAAGCACAGCCCAGGGAGGATCCAGGCCGTGACATTGGAGTCCGTATTGAGAACTAAGCATTTCAGCGGAAAATTCCTTTTCAAGTGGCTCTCGAGACTTCGTCAGGGTCGCCTGAGGAGACATCGTGCCGTCTAGGCACACGAATTACACACGCAGGGTTGAAGCCCAGCATCGCACTACTTCTAATTGTGCTTCAGTGGTCTTGGAGTAGGATCCTGTCAGGCCCTAAACCCTAAACCCTAAACTTGATCAGCCCCAACACCTGGACACCTCAACCTGCTGCCATCACCAAGGCCGCTGAGGTTCCGCCGACTCCGGCAACGGCACCGCCAGCTGCCATCACTTCGTCCTTGCCTACATGCGCGTAAGTCTCCACTTCTGGGCTGTAGGGCAACGGGATGTCTGCCAACGCCTTCTTATGGTACAGCATGTGGTGGCCGTACTTGAAACCAATCCGTGCCACCAGGTAGGCAGAGACCATTAACGAAAGCACTGCGACAGTATTCAGCTGCGAAACCATGTAGGCTTGCCTCATCAGGCCGTAGTTCACGAGTGTCAGGACTGTGCTCGGCAGTCCTTCCGTGAGGATCTCAGTCAGAATGATGGTGTGGTAGCGCTCGGGATCGACGTGGTCTGGCGTATCGGGCGTGGTAATTTCCCGACCGAGGACTTGCTTCTCGTAGAAGGTCTGGACGCTCTTCAGGAGAAGCAGGCGCGTGCTGTGCAGCACGATGCCGGTGGCGAACAACATCACACATTGCGATGCGGCCACCATTGGAGCGAGGACCAGCACCAACAGTGGCAAGCTGAGAGCAAGAAAGAAAGCACAGACGACGTTGACCAAATGTTTTTCGAAGCTGTCGCCAGCGATTTCGAACACCTGGTTGATGCCCTTGTCGGCCAGCAGAGTCCAGGAGATGAACGCGAGTCGGTTGTAGGTGTTGAAGGATGTTTCTATCAAGCTCCCCCCATAATGGCCAACGATCGTGGATACCCCGGCCGCCATGACAATGAGCACAGCAAGTACAAACATCTCCCAGCTGTAGAAGTCATTGTTGAACACGCTCAGGAGGTCCGAACCGAAGTCGGCCGAGCTGATAGCCACCTCCACCACCAGCATGAAGGGTCTGCGTGTGACTGTGGTGTAGATGATCGGGGTAACGAACAGCACGGCGCTGACACAAACCGAGACTGTGATTGGGATGTGGGTCTCGAAGGGAGGGGATCCCTTGGCAAAAGCCTCTGCATGCCTCAGTGGGCTGCTTGCTGGCAGTTGCTGAATGCAAGTCCTGGGTATGCTGCACGTGCCATTGTAGCTGGACTGCGACGCGCAGGGGGGGGGGCGGAATCGGCTTGTGACGGCTCGGAGTGGTGGATGGGTGTGATCGGGCGTGCGCCTTCAACGGCTTCGTGGCAGGTTGAGTCCACACACGACTCACCCACAAGCCAAAATTCGGACGAACAGGACTGGCACGCCTCCTGGCCATCTCTCCTGCACCTGGCGATGGCCACCCCGTGCTTGCAAGAGCATACATTCTCTTCACAGACGCCACTCGACAAGTGGAAGCCCTCGAAGCAACTTTTGCAGCCGTCATCGGCAGCGTGGCAGAAGCCGTTGGCGCAGGGGCATGGAGCTGAGTTGCAGATGGGCAGCGTCGGCCAGGGGAAAAGAAGCAACAGAAGCACAGGGACCACGCCGGAAAGCACAAGCATGCCAAAAAATAATTTTGTTTCCTCTCTATAGAATTTATCAAGCTGATGTCGCAACGACCGGAACTCAGTCCAGAGAACTGCCACCACGTATCCAAGACTTCCCACAGCCAGCAGCCAAAGAAGCATGCACACCACAATTGCCACACCAGCCAGGAGCGGACCCATCACGGGCACCGAGGCTTTGCTTTCAGCGAGGCACAGCACACGCACCCAGTGTAAAGTGACCCGACACCTGGCCCAGATTGTCTCCCAGAAGCTGGTGCATCTTGGCGGGTTGTGGTGCGCCAGGCGCCGGGCTGGAGCTTGGGGTTCTCCGCGGGTCAGGAAGCGGCTGGCCGGGCTGGTCACCGGGCTGGTCATGGACACGGGCGGGGAGGGCTGGAAGGAGAGCCCCACCAGCATGAAAGCAGCGGTGGCAAGCAGGACCACTGCGGTCCAAGGCTTCGCCATGGCGCAAGGGCTACTCTCTCCGGGCTTGAGCTGTGTGTGGCTACAAAACGTAACGTCAAGACAAATAACGGAGGTGTCTGCGTGCTCAGCCCTCAGCAGACAGGCAGGCTCAGGACAGAGCAGGCTCAGAAGACACATCAACTTCCTGCCTCCTCGTTGCGGCTAGGGATTTCTCTTTCGCCAGCCTGGGTTTTGGTCCAGTCTCTGAAAAGCAATGCCCAAAACTTCTGTTCTTATGAAAATCTCGAAACGGAGACGGCCAGGATTGGAGCGAGGATTGAACTCTTCAAGACAAAAGGGCCGAGGATCTTGACTGGGGGGGGGGGCGTATAAGCTTTTGTATATATATTATATGATGATCCATCCTCCGTGAGATTGGAAGCCTTCACGCCTTGCCAGCCGTGAGGTAATTCCTTGCCAAGGTGCTCTCTTTGCCGCTGGAGGAACAGGAAGCTCAATTGACGCAGCTGTCTGCTCTATGTCTCTCACCAGTCCATCGGGCACGGGAGCTGCATCGCGCACCGGGAACTGAAGCAGACCCTGACACCAAATTCAAAAACCCAATGCTCTTGCAATGTTGCAAAATCCGACACTTGTGTCAATGGTCGCTTCGGCATAAACCGAGATGGCCATACACGTGGAGTAGTATTCCTTCAGCACGAAGTGAATCATGAGCACAGCGGCTTCGGTAGATACATGTCTGCAAGAAAAGGTCGTGAGACTGCTGCCGCCACCCTTACTTTCTGCCCTTGAGCCAGCAACCCTGAGGAATGCATCAAACAAGGTCACTCTGCGCACTCCCGAGGCCACAGCAAAGCAATTTATGTTGCGGCTAGCAGCGCATCTGAAGCCAGCAGCTCGCTTCCCGTCGAGGACTAGACACTCTTGCCTCTGCCAGAAGACACCATGCCCTATTCTGGCTTCTAGATAAACTTTAAACTCAGCCGGATTATCTCACAAGACTTTTATCCTCCGGAATCTTAAGCACTGCCGTGCTCTCTTTTGAAACGGGGCTCCGATCCACATGCAAGCGTTCCTACAAGAAAAGACAGCAGTCCGTCGCTCAGTATGCTTACCCGTCGTAGCTGTCGTTTAGTTGTGTCACTCCCCCAAAGCAGCCACCCAGTCCGAGACCATGGCACGCGAGCACCTTCAAACCCTCATGTGGATTCTGTTCTGAAGGCTGTTTGGAGATGATGGCCGAAGCGAAAGATTGAATTTTAGTTTCTGCCACACGGTGTCGGGCTTGTGTGGTTTATGTAATGCTATGGGAGTAGGGCTGCGCCCTCCCAAGCGGAATTTGAGCACTGCGTGAAACTAATCTCAGTCAGACTTGTGGGATGTGTAGCGGAAGAGGATGACTGTGGCCGAAATGGGGTGGGCTGAGGGGGGGGGGGAGCAGAATCCTAAAATTTGTTTTCTCACGGGGGTGAGAACGTGATTATTCTGCACGGGGGGGGGGGGGGGGGTTGAGAATAATTTCCCACGACCCAGGTCCGGGCCTAGCTTGGGTTGCCGGCGTGTAGTGGCGCTGGCGTGCCGACTGTGTATGTTGATGCTGGTCGTGCTCTGTTTGTGCACAGTTTTCGCGTTCTTTCGGTGCAGGGTTTTCTGGACATGGGATTTGTGGCTGGGTTTCTTGGTTTGGGGTTTCTGGTTGAGGGGTTTCTGGGTTTGTGGTTCTGGCTTCAGGCCCCCCCCACCCTTCAACAGGGGAGGTTGGTATTGGACTACGACATGACGAAAGT